AAGTTGTTGATTAATGCGCAAATGTATAATGGAGATTTCCCTCAACAGGTAATGTTACACATTACATTAGGTCCTTCCAAAGCAATACAAACTTGTTTTGTTGTAACTTAAAATTACAGGAAATAACTGGAGTCTACATGAAGAACTGTATCTTGCATTTTGCCCAATATCGCAACATTTTTCCGTTGTGGGCACTTGGAGAATATCGTAAACGTGTCTGGTCATCCAGAGCCTCTTAAGTAGGTGGGATTTCTTTACATATTCCCAACCTTCCTTTGTTATTTTACAGAGTAAATGTATCAAGTTTCGACCATGTAGAAAAATGTATTTGAGCAATAAAACAATGAATATTTCACATATTTTTACCTTTTCTTTAACCTCAATGATAAATCTTCCTCTCCTCTTTGATGCTACTAAAAATTAAGAATTTGTGGTGTGGCTATGGCTGATGTTGGGAGTAATTATTTAGTTTTTCCATTTCTTAATTGTTCCTATTCTTGGTTTTAAAGTAGAAGAGTTTGGAAAAGTGCCAAGGGGGAGTCCTTCAAATCCCTTGTAAAATTGTTTGAAAGTACAGATAAATCAAATTAAGGGTGTTTGGTGGGGATTAAAATTAAATTTTTAGTGAATTGTGATAGAAATTTATGAAATGTGTGGTTGAAAAGATGTGAGACCCATGAAAGATGTGGTTAATATTGATTGTTTGACTTTGACTTAAATTAAAATAAGATTTTGATCCGCCTAAACAGGCCCAAGTACTTTCGTGTAACCGGTTTGCTTTCAAGTAGTTTTTTAAGTATCGAAAATCTAAACTAAATCATTTCTAAACAATTTGGTCTGATTTTGATTCAAAACGTTGACGGTATTTGTAAAGCCAATTTTTATATTCGGTTAGATGGTTTTAGGATTTTTTACTCACCCCTAATAATAGTGGGATTAAGGATGGCATCCTGTCCTTAAGTTCCTTGTACTAAAAATAATAATTTTTTGATAATCGAGGTCGTCTCTCACCAAATCAACCCATACTTTACTCAAATTAATCTCATCAATTAAATCATCAAAACACAAAATCCCAATCCCTCTCATCATCTCACCCGTCACACATGAATAAATAAGGTCACAAAACTGAGGTAACATTCGAACAATAAGAACTTAAAAATTACTTATGAAATCACGCAAGGAAAGAGTTCAAAATATTAACAAATGAAAGCAAATCAAATTACAAATGTGACAGTAAAGCTGGCATTTTGGTTCAGTTAACTCGAAATTAAAAATTTATTATTCTTTTTGCATTCGTACAAAACTTCCACAGGATAAAAAGAAGGAAAAGTCTACATGTACATAATAGTGTCCATAATGTGATGTGGACAAAATCATGTTAATGTGAAAGTGTGAGATTTCAATTAATGGTTGGATCCAGTGCCACGTGTAATTATGGACACCGTTATGTACAAAATTATGTACATGTAGCACTTCCCATTTGATTATTGCTGGAAGTCAGTAAATGAAAATGTTGACATTATCGCTAATTGTACATGTAGCACTTCTCTAAAAAGAATACGTCTTTATTAAAAACCTCCCTGAAATTAAGCTAATTAAAGAAAAAGTCCCTAATTGCTACCACTCCATTGATTAAATTTACCTAACCAGAAAAGTTGGGTCCCTCTCTTTCCCGCAGAGGTAGTTTTTATGCCCATTTTTAACCAGATGGTTCTAACTTGTATGCAATGTAATCAATTCAACTAATTTTTAAATTTTTTCAAATTACAATCTTGCGCACAAATTATAAAAGTTCATTAAAAATTTAATCAATTTTTTTATATTATAGGCCGAAAAAATTGATAAGTGTAGTTTTTATACTTATCGAAATTCTAAATTATGAGATTTTATTGTCTTTTGAATAAAATTCTATCTAATATATGTTAAATTGTATTTTATAGGTAAAACTTTATGTTTAATGAAGAATTGAAGAAAAAAAATGCAAAATGAGGAAAAAATGGAAAAAGTCATAGCACGAGGATTTGGAAAGAAGAATTAATTTAATTTGATATTGAAATTTATTGAACCCCAACTTGAACTTTTAAAAATTGGACTGAACATGGCTTGCAATATATATATTAGAGATATACACGCAAAGAGGAGCGTAGATGTGTCAATCTGGGTGGTCTGGGTCGGGTTAGCCCGTCAATATATGAGCCAGGTAACGGTCCGCGTGAAAAAAAGCCCGCTCGCTACTGGTTCCGGGCCGGTCCACAAATTTTGAACTACAACCCAGGCTCGCCCGCTGATTCATCCGGGTCAAGCCCATGCGAGTCACGGGTCGCGCAGGTCGCAGTTTGTTCCAATTTGACCCGTATTATTGTATAAATAAAATTATAAAAATATAGAATTTTTCATATTTATAGCAAAAAATATCTTTTTTGTTAAATGTAAACTAAAAANAATATTTTTTTTGTTAAATGTAAATTAAGAATTGAATAAAATAATAAATTCATATTAATACAAATAAATGTTTATATAGAATTCAAATTTAATATTACATGAATTATTTATAACTTTACAAAGTTAAATTTAACTTAAACAAATACCAACTAAATGTATTTCTAATTACTATTATCAAATATTTATAGCATAAGTACATTCCAATTAGGTTTGCTCCTATTTTTATTATAATTTATAGTTTAAGAACATTCCAACTAGGTTGACTCTCTCCCCCTTTTTTTTCAAATTAAAAAAAAAATTTCACGGCCAGCGGGTTAATCGCGGCCCGTGAAGGTGCAACCCGCTAAACCCGCGGGTCACACGTTCTTGACCCGTGAACCGCCCGCTCGGGTCATGGGTTAGCCCGCGGTCCCGGGCCGATTTTTATGGGTCTGGTCGGCCCGTCCATCTTGACACCTCTAGATGAGAGAGAGGAAAATTATATACATATTTACGTACAAAAGGCGGCGGCTGCAAATTGGGGAGAAAAGATATTTAGACACAGAAAAGTCAGTTGCTGAAGAATTTGGTGAAAGATATCCATCTTCTATTAAAAGAGGCAATCATCCGTGCACTGTTCATTTAGGACGTATTTTCCTTTTCCCATTTTATCCCTCTATTTCCTCTTTCCTTTTCCCATTTTATCCCTCTCTTTCCTCTTTCCGGAGTAAAAAATGTAGGCGGTTAAATGTCCAAAAAATTTGCCGACTGAACTTCTGCAAACCGACTTCCTCTTCCTCTTCAAAAAAGTAGGCGGTGAAATGTCAAAAAAATTTGCCGACCTAGGTTCTGCAAACCGACTTCCTCTTGATCTTACTATATATTTTGATTTCAAACAACAAATAAATTATTTAGATTCCTCTCGCTTTTTCTCATTATCGGTGTGAATCGGCTTCCTCTTGCTTGGTTTCAGTATCGGTGTGAAGTGTTGTAATTGCATGAATTTTTCGTTTGAATTCTTTTGTTTTGCCCAATTAAAAAAAAAAATCGAACTCCCCGTCATAAACATCTCCTCTATAAAATTCTTCAAACTTTGGCGGTGAGATTTGCCGACTTAATTAAAAAAAAAAAAACAAAATCTGCAACCGACTTACTCACATTGTATGTATTTTGCCACTTTCTACACTATATATATAACATGCAAATGCACTAAATGCAATTGCAATCACACAGCGCTGTCAAGTGGCAAAACAATCTCTTCAAGGTAGATTTCTATTTATTGTTGTTACATTTTTGTTNTTTTTTTTTTTTTTTTTTGCAGCATGGTTTAGGTTTTTCCATTTTTGTTTAGTATTTTCGCAGTGAGTTATTTTTTCCCCGGTTAATTCGATTTTTTTAATAACCTCAAAAAACGAAATTCTATTATTCATGAAACAAGGAACGTTCCAAATGTTTAAGTAAGAAGAACAAAATAGACATCCACTTTATTAAAACAATTGAAACGCCAAAAAAAAAATTCATTTTGTCAATTTCCGGTTCAATTCCTCTTCAAACTCTAACGTTAATTGTCCTACATCAATATATTTGTTAAAAGTGATTATTAATTGTTAACAAATATTTTTTTCCACAGTTGAAAAAAAATTACACTTAAACTCCCCTTGCGCGCACGGGAACACAGGATCTCCCCGTGCGCGCAGACACCATCTCCCCGTGCGTGTACGGGGAGAATTCAACTCCCCGTGCGCGCACGGGGAGATGGTGTCTCCCCGTGTTCATGGTCATCTGATATCCGCTGGTCTTGGTTATTGTTCATCTTGGAATAAGAAAGTGTTGTAATTGCATGAATGTCTCGTTTGTATTTTTTTTGTTTTGCCCGATTTAAAAAAAAAAAAAAAATTCCGACCTCCCTGTGCGTTCACGGGGAGTTTCTAAATAAACACATCTTCTTTCTCTCATCTCGACCACCAAAGAATCCCCTAGACCGCTCTTCCACTTTTCCATTCATCTTCTTAAAGCATGTTTCAAAGAAAACCCTACCTCACCCCTTACGTTTGAAGATCAGCTCACATTTTCAAGACACTTCCCTATATTTTTCTTCTAGCTTTGGCGGTGGGTTGGAGTTGGGCAAAGGTAACCTCGTAAGATTATTACAACGGAGAAGAAAACGATACCTATGTAACTCTCTTTCGTCTAAGATTAGATTATTTGTTTTTTAATTCGAAAATTGAACTGGGTTTGTTGTGTTCTTTTTGATTTTTGATTTTCTATGATTTCTTGAGTTTGATTATTTCCTCAATTTTTATTTTTGCTTTTTTAGTACAAAAATAGAACTGGGTTTGAGGGGTTCTTTTTGATTTTTTCTACTTTATGTGATTTCTTATATTGATTCATTTCTACTTGGTTCTTAATCTCCCTTTTATCTTTTGTGCGTGTAATTATGCGTATCTACTGCGAATCGGTTTTGTAGAAATTCTCGGGTAATTGTGTGAAAATATTGTGCAGGATACTAAAGGTAAAGATGCGGATTTGAGTATATACAAAGGGAAAGTTCTGCTCGTTGTCAATATTGCTTCCAAATGGTTCTTATTCTTGTTACTTGCTTTACTTAATGATTTTTTTATTGTTTACTTTCTATCAGTGAAATTTTCCTTTTTGTTGTTGCTGGATTTGATGGGGGTTTTGACTTCTGATTGTTTATGTATTTCATTAGCTAAAGCAGCGGATACACGAATTTGAACTACATCCAGTTGACAGAACTTTACAGCAAGTATAAGGGTAAGGGTCAGTCCCTTTTCTCTATATTTCTTTTATCTTTAGA